TCGGGCGGCGCTAAAATTAGAGTTCGCCGAACGGTGGCAGCCAGTCGTCGACTTTCCTGGCACCTACGACGTATAACCTCGGCCGGTGGCGCGGAGATCTTCTCGGAAGATGCCGTTGCGAGCCCACGGCCCGTTATATATTTCACCCGTGGGTTCACGAAGAGCAAGCCCCGTTTGGGGCAACAAAAAAAAATGATATATCGTTGCGAACACTGAAATTCGATATCCCCCTTGCCGAGTAGTAAAAAAGAATTCAGGTAGAAGACTGAGAAGAAAAAAAAAAAATGACTAGGCTCTCTCTTGCCAAACTTCCGTGAACGAAGAATTCGTCCAGACACGAACATTCACGATGTTCGAAATTATATGAGTCGATTGTATGCACTCTGGTGCGATATAAGATCCGCAAGAGAATCTCCTTCTCGGCTGCACGTGCTCGTTGACTTCGATGGTACTCTGGCTGCGTGTGTTCATCAGGCGCCGAAGTCTTATCGAAGGTAACAAGCTCGCGCTGGAGGCGGAGCTTCCACTGCATGTACACTCTAAAAAAAGCCCGTGCGTCTGCTTTCCCGCACAACACTCGGAGAGCCAATCACCGCAACTTACGGAGGCAGCTGAGCGAATGACAATGCCGATACATATGTTTAGACCAAAAAACGCAGTCTGAGTTGTGACATTGAGCAATGCAAAACGTCACGCTTGCAATGCTTAATGTCACAACTCAGACTGCGTTTTTTTTTTTTGTCTAAACATGTGTTTTGGTATCGTCATTCGCTGAGCTGCCTCCGTGAGTTGCGGTGATTGGCTCTCCAAGTGTTGTGCGGGGAAAGCGGACGCACGGGCTTTTTTTTAGAGTGAATATACTTTATTGTGGTGCAGTAGACATTTGCGAAAGTGACAGAGGGGTCCGAGGGAAGTCGAGAAATTTGCGGGCGAACGCGGTTCGAAACTGAGGCACGTTCGTTCCACCGCGCCGAGAACAACGACTGCCCGCATTTGAATGGCCCCTTCCCTCCCCTTAAAGCTCTCTCTAACCAAGACGCTCGAAAAAGAAAAAAAAGAAGAGGAAAAAAACAAAAACAACTGAAAAACGTTTTGAATGAAAGCAACTCACTACTGCGCGGTCTCATGATCTCAGCGACGAGCTCTCCCTCTTTCTGAGTTGCGTTTACAGTTTAGTTAATCGCCGCGGCGTCCGTTAATGCCCCCCCCCCCCCCCCCCCCCCCCCCAACGCAAAAAAGGTCTGAAATACGGTGCTGTGGTAGTATTCACGGCACAAACTAACAAAAGCACGGTCGAAAATCGATTTCAAGAGCGTAACGGTACAACTGGGGGAAAGGGCGAAAGGGCAGTCGGTCGCAACCTGAGTCGCGGTCTGTCCGGCACTATATCGAGCTTTCTAATTAAAAGTAGCGGGATCTGCGTGACTCTTTTCGCCTTTCTTTTATTTTATTTTTTTTTGGTCGCGTGCTAGCAACTTGTGTTTCTGCGCAGCCTTGGACCGACAATTCCAGAGAGTTCAACCAAAACAGCGAGGGTAGCAGAGATGAGAGTTTTGCCAGCCTCGAAAGCGACTCAATAGCGTAAAACGTTCTCGTGAAGGCGGCAACAAGCACAGCATCGAGGGCCAATGAGTTCGCTGGTCACCCAAGCGGAAAGGAATCGATTGATGTTCGGTGAGGCACAGGCATTACTTCAAGCAATGGAATTTTTCGTCTTCGCTCGATTCGATTGATTTTCGCTTGCGAGGGCGTTAATACAAACAGTCTTGTGTATGCTTGTGTTTGGACGTTACTATTGACATCTCGTGACGAGGTCTTGAGGCCGTCGGAGGGGGCGACAGATATTCATTAGTTATTTCTACAAAATCTCTCGAATGGAGACGCCAGTCCTCCCTCCATCCTCCTACTGGCGCGGCAATTCATCCTGATTTCTCCCAACAGCCAATGAAACGTATTAATAACGCTCGCAGTTTATGGATTTTATTGCGAACGGAAGTGACAGTATAAGCGAGACGGCAAATATATACACGAACTCGTACTTCTGGCCTTGCGCCAAGGCGGTGAGGCTAACTGCTAAAAGGCGCATGAGCAGATGCGTTGTACTTTAAAGAAAATCGAACATGGTTCCTGCACCTTCGCGGTGCTCACAGTGCCCGTGGAGAAACGCGCTTTGTTTAAAAAGAAATAGCTGGTGTGCAGCCGCTCTGATGCTGTGTGTCGAGAATAACCTTATCAGACTGACAAAGTTTACTCTGACGTATGGCCACGGAGTTTGGAAAGGTGCACAACACTGGTTGGATACATCCAATGTTTTAGGTGCTACCAAAAAAAAAAAATTGCGGTGGCTTAGCTCGGCTATTCCAGGATATAAAGTAGTGAACAAAAATATATGATATTTCGTTTCTTTTACAGAAGTATTGCTCGACGTCTAGTGAATAGCCAATAATATTTTATTTTGATATATGGTACACCACAACGCAGCCTTTTTAGCCACCAGGGGTTGGTTGTTATATCTGTATCACAGTTCGAAGAAAACTTACCCACGTAAAACCGAAATATCATATCTTTTTGTTCACTACGGTACGTGGCATGAGCTTATGCGCACAAAATGAGAGGCGATATCAAGCGGCTCCGGTGCAGCGTCAGACTTGGCTACTGCGCAACGGAGGTGCACAGCTGGGCACGCGGCGGCGCCATGCCTCTGCCGCGCCTATGACGTCAATCCTCTGAAATGCGTAGACGGCGAGGCGCGCGCGGCGGCGGCGGAGCGCCTGGCGGCGGCGGCTCCGGCGCGCCAGCTGTGCGCCATGTGACGTCACGTCGCATGCGCAGCACGACTCTTTGGGAGCCACGCGAAACTGCTCAACCTCGGTCAGTGTAGCTCACGCTACAAAAAAGTAACGAAATACGTTACTTGTCACTTGCAAGTAAAAGGAACGCGTTACCGACCAACGTTACCTCAAAACGAGGAGTTTTGGTATATCGTTCTAATAACTCCGATAACGATACCCGACAACCATACGCTGCATGGTCAAAGGCGTCGGCTGAGTATTGGGTATCGTTATCGGAGTCATCGGAACCAACTACTAAAGCTCCCTAATAAAGGGAACGTGTTACTTTTACCGATAAAAAGTAACGCAAGATACTTTTTGCTTATAAATTATTACGTTTTGCTGTTCAGACTTTACACCTATGCATAAGCGATACATATTTCAAGAAACGTTATGTCTATTCAGAAACCTGACATTATTGCCTTATATTTTTTTACGGTTCCACTTGGGAAGAGAGAGGCAAAAGTTTGAAGGAATTTGGGATGAGTGCACGAATGCATATGACTTGGGGCTATAGAAACACGAAAAAATTTTAAGTGTAGAGTTTTTAAAGTTTTGTAAAGATGTGACGAGTAACGTAACCAAGTTGCCCGTTACTCGAAATAAGTAATGTAAGTATGCTATCCGTTACTCTTTTGATAAAATACTAGTTCGTTACTACGTTACAAAAAAAAAAACGCGTTACCTATAAAGGGCTTTACACGTAACGCGTTACCGCCAACACTGTACCTATGAACAAAAAGATTAAAAAGCGTTGTTTTTTAGTGACGTCACTCCGGCGCATGTGTCGTCATAGGGTGTTTCTGGACTCTGGAGTGACGTCATTGACGGTGCGATTTTTTTAGTAGCCTCGGCAGCATTCCGCCTCTAAGATCGAAGACGAGGTTAGAGTTTGTTTAGAGCAGTGAACAGAGGTCAATAAACCACGGATATCGAGCGCTGCGCTAGTCTACAGCACAGCCTCAAAGATGGCTAATTTTATCCCAGTATAACAAGCCGAACTCGACGCTTCGCTCATTGCAGGCAGCGCGCGAAATGGAATAAAAGTGTTTTCTTTAGGTCTTTTTTTGTTATGTTTTTCGCACTTAACTTTACACAAAACTCTCCGCGCCGCACATCCCAAATAAAAACCGGCGAAATATTAAAAAAAAAAAAAAAAAAAGAAACTGCCGAAACAACAGCCTCATAAACGAAGCGACTGATAAGTAAAGAGCGTCTTATAGAAATCCGGGATGGGTAATAGCGGGTAGAAAGAGAAAAACGCCGACGACGCTCGGAGATAGGCGACGTCAGAGAAGACAGCACGTGCGAGCTGTCACACGGGAAACGACGAGTTTCGTCGAGTCGCTGCGCCCCTCTGTACCATTGTGTCTCCGGCCAAAAACAATCCGCTAAAAATGACAAAAAAAAAAAAAAAAGCGCACGCAGCGTTTGATGTTTTCATATTGCGATTTGGGCGAGCACCGCGTCAAAGTCGTCTCGAAGCCGCCGGGTTTCGAAAAAGGATCACGGAGCCCCCGCAGCCCAAGTTGCGACGCCTTGGCAAAGCGGGAAAACATTCGGCAGGGAGCACAAACCGGGGATTATAAATCTTCATGCACAAAACAATGCATTGAATGGCTTCATTTTCTCCCTTATGTGGCGGGCGCCTCAAGGGGTGTGAGTGAAGGGTCAAGGGGAGGGACGACAAGGAAACCCTCTTAACACATTTGAAACGATATATAGTTTTATCGGATATATTTTAGCTCCCCGTCCGGGCCGGGACCATCGCACCACCAACGCAACCAAGATGAAGCGAATACTAAAGCTCTGTCGATTGAGGGACAAGACGGAAGACTCGCCAATTGATGCGTCGTCCGTGTTGTTACTCAACATTTCTCCCTTCATGTAAATCTCACCGAAACCTCCGAGGTAAGAGGAGGCATGCCCGTACAGTACACATCTCAACAAAAACCTTGCAAAACAAACTGAAAAATAAGAAGAAAAAAAAACGGGACACACTGGTTGGACACGAGCGTGTTGCGTCAGCATCCAATCAGACGCTGCTATCTAATCAGTGCGATTTTTATGCGGTGCGCGCGAGTATGTACTGTGTTATCTCGCGCGCGTATAAGTGCATTTTCTTTTTTCTTTTTTTTGCACAATTAATTTGGAAATTGCAAGACTCACCGACAAGTCGAGATCCGGGCCGTAATCCAGGCTGCGGATGTGGGTAGGTGTTGTGTGGTGTGGAGAAGTTCAGCGGTGGAGCCCGCGAGGAGTTGGATCAGCCGAGCACGGCGAGCACAGGTCCGCGACTGGCGGAGCAGCGAGGCTTCTCGCTCCACGGGACGCGGGGGGAGAGAGGGGCGCCGACTGACGTCACTCGCGGGGAAGATGCGGCGCTCTTCTCAGCCGCCGGGCGGTCCCGCCTCGGAATGGGCGCCCCCTCCGAGTCCTGCTCCCGTTGTTCCTTCGGCCAACTCCTGCGCTCTCTTCGATGGCTCTTCGGCTTTCTCTCTACGCTTGTTGGGAGCGAACAACTCGCGCGTTCGATGGCGCGTTTAAGCAGTTGTGCTGCAGTGGACTTTTGTTTGTCTGATCTACTAAACAGCTAACCCTCTGTTTTTTATCCGATACCTGCCCGATAAGCGGCAGAAGTGGCGCAGGATGAGCACCGGCTAGCCGTGCTCTTTCTTTCCCTAATCAGTACGTCAGCTCTCCAACTAGCTCCTCGATAACACGAAGCCGATGCGCCCCGCCGAAACGTCGGACAAGTCGACCAAACGCGACGCGCTAATTCGACACGAACGTTGAGTTTCCAGTCAGGGCACCGTAGTTGATCAGTCCGCTCGTAGGAAGGGGTCGATTTCGCACGCTTCAAAGAAGTAGATGGTGAAGAGAAACATCTTGTGGTTGATAAACACAGAGCTTCGAAACGACGAAGTGTGGCCAGCCTCCATCATCTCTTTTCGAATGGCTTCCTTAGGTGATCGGGTTAACGTACCACCCCCTAAGGACAATATGAAACCAGTCGAGAACTATATGAGGCAGTAATAACTATAGCCAAGTTCTGTTTTTAGAAGATGTCCATGCCTAGATAGAGGCATCGATAACTGATGCCTGTTTGTTGAGCATAGGCATCTATCACCCCTCGATCCAAAAACGAACTAAACATATAGACAGCACGAGTTTCGTCTGCCCTTGTGAGGTTACCTGGCTCACGCTGCAGATGAGAAATTCAGCCAGATCAGTACGCTGCAGCCTGAAGTCTTTAACGCGCATCAGACGGTAGTGATAGGCACGATCACACTATGCTCCGTTCACCCTTAACCTGATATTAGAAGCTCGGCCTTCACCGTGAGCTTTCTGCCCTTGATAACACAAGTGTGAACGCGCAGGCACGCGTAACCAAAGCACTGCGGAAGCCAGTTATGGGTGAACGGAGTATAACGGATCGGCAGCTCACCCCACACCGTTTGCCTGATGTCGGCTGCCGCACAAGCCTGATTGGCCGGAGAGCGCCGGGATTTCTCTGCCCGGCAGATCGGCTGGTGCCCGATGTCTGCCACGCCACACAACAAAATGGGGTGTTGTCAGCCTACAAAAGGCGGAAATCGACAGTCTCGGCTTGGGGCGTGGAACCGGCACAGTCATGGCGGTGCCCTTCACGCATATTCGTTTTCTGCTGCTCATGCAGGTTGGTGCCAGCTTCTCTAAATGTTCTAAATGTCGTTTTGCTCTTCTGCCGGTTCCACCCCATGTTGTATTTGCTAACGTTAGATCACGCGGCTTGACCTGCCGATTTCGGAGAGGTTTCGTGTTGTTGCACAATTACGCTTTCTATTTCTTATTGCTACTGCTGTGCGGTGACGTTGAATTAAATCCCGGCCCTCTTTCTGCCGCGCAAGAAAATCAGCTAGTTGAAGCAATGCAACTAATTCCTAGTATGCACGAAGGACAAAAGACTGTAATAAACGAACTGAAAGCCATCAAAGATTTGCAAACCACATTCGAAAGAAAACTGGAGGGCTTATTTTCTCGTATAGCCATAATTGAGAGCGATGTGGCTGCAATTAAACCACTGAGGGGAGAATTTGAAGAACTTAAAGCGTCAAATCGGGAACTCGATACGCAGCTTAGAACAACAGCTTTACGTCAAGAAGAACTGGAAAATCAATCTCGGAGAAACAACCTGCTCATCTACGGTTTGCCCGACGTGGCGGCTGAAACCTGGGAAGCTTCAGAGGCTAAGGCTTTATCTTTTTTCGCCGATAAGCTCGATATACACCTTGAAGCTACTAGCATTGAACGAGCGCACAGGATTGGCCGCTTTGCTGCTGATAAAAACCGCCCTTTGATTTCGAAGTTCCTGTCATTTAAAGACAAGCAAAGGGTTCTTTCCAAGGCCTTCAAACTAAAACGAAGTGGTTTTTCTATAAGCGACGATTTTTCCCCTGCAGTACAGTTTGCAAGACGCAGACTTCTAGACTACGCCAGTGAGCAGAACGCGCAATTTAAATTGCGATACAACAAGTTAACTATAGGCAACAAAACGTATATGTACGATCCAGATAATGACACTGTGTTCGAAAGTGCCCGGTAACCACCAAAGTATACAAGCGGAAATGGAGAACTTAGCTTTCAAAAACTAGTCTTCATAACTGTCAACTGCAGAAGTGTTAAAAACAAAAAAGACGAACTTGCCTTTCTTCTGAATTCAACACAGGCTGATGTGGTTATTGGTACGGAGTCGTGGCTTGATGGTTCTATAGACAGTTCTGAAATATTTCCAGCTAACTATGAGGTCTACCGCAAAGATAGAAATCTAAGGGGCGGGGGTGTGTTCTTACTTGTGTCTACAGACCTACCAAGCACAGCCCTTGAATTTCACGACAGTATTTGCGAATCTGTTTGGTGTAAAATCAAACTGCGAGGCTCGAAATTTCTCACAGTCGGCTCATTTTATAGACCACCGGGTAATAATGCACTGGATCCCCTTTTGTGTTTATCTAATACTTTGTCAGCAATAACCCCTGATGACGTCATACTTAGTGGAGACTTTAATCTTCCCGATATAGATTGGGTGGAAAATATACCTAATTTGCGTAATTCACTCTCTCTTTATACCACGTTTGACGAACTGATAAACACTCATGAGTTGCAACAGTTCGTGTCCCTTCCAACAAGATATAGTGCACGGGAATCTATTCTAGATCTTTTTTTTACAAATCGTCCTTCTTGTGTGTCCTCAGTAATGACGACACCGGGCCTCAGTGACCATGAAGTTGTAGTTACACAAATAACTTGTAGGCGCGATGTCATCATCAAGTCACGCCCCAAAAAAGTGTATGTTTTCGATCGGGGTGATTATGATAACTTGTCTTTTGACCTGTTGGCTTTCCTCCCCGAGTTTGAATGCTCATGTACGTCACTTGACATTGAAGATTTGTGGTTGTTGTTTAAAAGTGTACTTATGGCTCTTATCGATAAATATGTTCCCTGTAAAATGTTATCAGGAAGGCGTAGACACGATAAACCATGGATAAACAAAAGCTTGCGTTGCCTCCTAAATAAGAAACGACGTCTGTTTCTTAAGTATAAAAAAACAAAAAACCCGGCAACGAAAAGTGAACTAAAATGCCTCGATTACGCCTTTAAAAAAGAGGTTAAGGAAGCTGAACTGCATTTCTTCTCTACCCTGGGTCCCAGGTTGCTTAACAACCCAAAAGAATTATGGAAAATTGTGAAAAGAACGGGTAATAACGAAAGCATAGGTATACCCCCAATACTTCAGAACAATGAATTGACTTCGGACGACTTAGAGAGAGCGGTTTGCTTCAATAATTTTTTTCAGTCTGTTTTTTCTAGTCCAGCAGAGACAGACGAATTGGCCCCATCTATGTCAAAACTTAATGGGATGCCAGAATTTGTAATTGAGGATAATGGTGTACTTAAACTTCTTTGTAATTTAAAACCTCATTCAGCCACAGGACCCGATGGAATCCCTAACCACGTGTTAAAATCGTGTGCTACCGCGATTACGTCCTTCCTAGTTATATTGTTTAACAAATCGCTTTTCTCGAGCAAGCTGCCGTCGGATTGGAAGACTGCTATTATTGCACCCGTCCATAAGGCAGGTCTTAAACGCGAGGTATCTAATTACAGGCCAATATCGCTGACTAGTGTTTGTTCCAAACTGCTAGAACACATCATATACTCAAATATTGTATCTCATCTAGAGTTAAATAATTATTTTACCCCGCAGCAGCATGGTTTTCGCTCGGGTCTGTCGTGCTCTACGCAGTTGATTGAATTTGTCCATGATATTTCTCTCTCATTCGATAAAAATATACAAACTGACTGCTTGCTTTTAGACTTCCAAAAAGCTTTTGACAAAGTGCCCCACTCCCTTCTTATCCACAAATTGTCATCCTTGGGGTTACCTGGTTATCTTATCAAGTGGCTGAAAGATTATTTAACTGATCGTACTCAGTGTGTAGTTGTCAATGGTGTTAAATCCCCGTACGCAGCGGTTACGTCAGGAGTTCCCCAGGGGAGCGTACTTGGACCTCTTCTCTTTTTAATTTATATTAATGACGTTCCTCAAAACTTAACATCTAGTATTCGTTTATACGCGGATGATTGCGTTATCTACCGGCAAGTTTGCAACGACGATCATTCCTACTTACTCCAGACTGACCTTGAAACAGTGGCGGCGTGGTGTAACAGGTGGGGAATGTGCCTAAACATTAATAAATGCAATTATATTCGGTTTACCAAAAAACGCAACCCTTTTCTATCAAGGTACAATCTAAACGGCACTGACCTTAAAGAGGTTACGGAGGTAAAGTATTTAGGTGTCTATTTTAGCAGCACTCTTTCCTGGGCCAAACACGTGGACACAGTAACACTTAAGGCGAACCGTGTCCTAAACTTTTTAAAAAGGAATTTTAAAATGGCTCCTGAAGATATAAAAGCTTTGCTATACACTACTAACGTTAGGCCTATCTTAGAGTACGCGTGTTCAGTGTGGGACCCTCATTTCCTCAACTTGTCCTCAAAAATTGAACGCGTACAAAATAGAGCTTCGCGCTTCGTTACAAATACCTACGCCTTTCGGTCAAGCGTCACCAAACTTAAAGAGCAACTGAACTGGCACTTGCTGGCTTCACGACGAAAGTGCTTGCGATTAAAACTTTTTAGAAGTATTTTCCTACAGAACACACGCATTAACAAGGATAAGTATCTTCATAGTCCTGATTACATTTCCTCAAGGGTAGATCATTCGCTTAAAATAAAAGAAATTAGATGTAGAACAGAACTGTTTAAACATTCCTTTTTTCCAAAGAGCATTCATGAGTGGAATGCCCTTCCTGAACTTGTGGTGACAGAAACCTCAGATGCCAGCTTTTCTTCTCTCCTATTGGACCTATAAAACTCCCTCAGTGTTCAATATCCTGTATTGTGTTTATTAGTTATACTTGTATCGTGTTTTCTGTTAGTAATGTGCTTGCTGATTGTATTCCTTTTTTCTTGCAACAGATCTTTGATGTTTTTTGCATTTTTTTGTGTATTGGTGCTTTCAAGCACTATGTTTTACTTGCGTTTAACAAGTGTGATGCAACCATCTTTTGTGTATTTTAACCCCCCTACTGTAATGCCCTCTGGGCGATGTAGGTACTGTATAAATAAATAAATAAATCAGATGCGTCACCTGTAGTCGCGGTGATAGTAATGCCATGGTGACGCTGAACACCTCGCCGCTGGCACGTTCAGAAGGAGCATAGCTCACTTATTCAAGGTGGCTTTTTTTAGCGTCCCCGAGCCTGTCGCCACTGAAGAGAAAAAAATACATTGATGTTTAAAAATAAACGAAGGCTTGAGTGGAAACGGCTCGTCGGAGCCGTAGCGTGCCCAGCGTGCACAGCTTTCGGTGGACTGACTGCGCCAGATGGAAGAGGCATCGTTGTAATGTCCGAAATGACGTCATGAGCGACGTACATTATGATTTTGAAGTCCATATGAAGCACGCGGTCAGCGCGGGGCCCTATGTGGTCGACGAGGACTGAGAAGAACCCGATTAGGTAATGAGCGTAATTTGTGCAGCTATATGGTTGTCGTTGGAATAACTGTTAATCGGGGGCCTTACATATATAGTCAAGTACCTCCGGTATGCTTCCTCAGTTTTGTTGGGCAGCAGTCCATACGCCATGGGCCCGACGATCCCGTTCTTCATCGTGTTGGGGGTGTATGGCTCGTGGAAAAGGGAGGGCACCACTTTGGGAACGCCCCGTCACAAAGCCACGCACTCCCGATGCACTCCAGGTTGCACTGTGTCGCGAACAAGATGCGGCCGCTGACGTCAGCTTTTCCGATGTCAAGTAGTCTTTCCTTGCAGATCAGAATAAAATTATAACTAACTCAAGAGGGATTCTTCTTGAATACAGCGTGGACTCAGGTGGAAGTTTCATGTCTGCTTTTTTGGGGGGAGGGGGGGCGGGGGGGGGGGGGGGCGGTGGGGGCCAGGGATCAGCAACATGCGGTCCGCGGGCCGGATCCTTTCCGCGAGGCAATATTATACGGCCCCCGACACTCTGACAGAAAAGACCCCCGCCCCCCAGACACATACACCAGGAATTATGGTGCAAGAAATATAGTAGGTGTAATCGGACGTAATAACTCTGAAACAGTACGCTGGGAGTGTGAGGATAGATTTACGTTCACTGTATAATCCATAAGCAATTACATGTGCTCCAAGGTGGTGTATTTGGGGATAATTATCTAAGGTCGTCGTATCTAGCATACATTTTGTTCAAAATCGGGCCTTATCCCATCGTCAGTTTCAAAAGTTTTTGCGCACAATCAGAATCACTGTGAACATGTCCAGTACCGCATAGAAGTTCAATGTATAAAGTAAAAATAGCGATTAATGCTTTTTTCTTTCTTTCTTTTTTTTTGGGGGGGGGGGGGGGGGGGGAGGGGGGGGGTTGTGAAGAAACTGCAGTTTTTCCCCGTGGAAGAAAGCCGTCTAAGGATCTCTCTGATCTTGATTTCTTGTGTAAATTGTAATTACTGGCTCTGTTGTTACGTCACTGTAATGACCTGAACGTAAGATTACAAAAGAAAGGGAAACTGGTGGCAGGTGCTCTCAAACTCAAACGTTTTCCAGCTGAATATTTTTTTTTACGAGTCTTTTTAGAAGAAACGAGCACAGTGTTTCATAAGAAAAAAGAAAAAGTATTTGTGATTAAGTACGCGATTTGAACAGGAAGTTCGAAGTTGGGTACGCCGATATTCAGAAATACTCTGACGACATTCATATTTTTCAAAATTTATTAAGGCAGAATACGGCCAAGTTCAAAAGGTTTACTAGAGTTCACTGATGAGCTAATCACCAAATGGACAATTAGTTGAAGGATGCATCTGCAGCCAGCAACTTAGTTAAGTTTTACTTGGCCTCTTTGAATAAAATGTTTCGAATAGAGTAAACAAAATTTCACAGTAGCTTTGGTCGCAGTGTTCACTATAACCCGTCTATACATATGCGAACATATTTTTCCAAGATGATGGTGATGATAATAATAATAATAATAATAATAATAATAATAATAATAATAATAATAATAAGAAGAAGAAGAAGAAGAAGAAAAAGAAGAAGAAGAAGAACTTTATCACCACAGATGACCGTGAAGTGAAACGCTCGTTTTCGAATGAAATATGAGCACCTCCAAAATAGTTTAGAACTCCGCAGTTAGCAGCTTTAATGTGAATGCTTGCATCTTGAGAAGCGGTATTAAGCGCCAAAAGTTCGAGCAGTTTTGTGTTGCTTGTGTCTAAATCATGAAAACATCTTCGCACAACGCTTTTTGCTTG